ACATATAGATCATAAAATATTTCCATACACCAAATATAGTTGAACTATTGCATATAGTATTAGAAAAAAAGACCAAAACTCAAAAACTTAACTTTGACCACTGAACCATGAAAATGAGGTCAAGGTAAGATGACACCTGCCAGCTAGACATGTACAGCTTACAATCATTCCATACACCAAATATAGCTGACCTATTGCATGCAGTATTAGAAAGAAAGACCAAAACTCAAAAACTTAACTTTGACCACTGAACCATGAAAATGAGGTCAAGGTCAGATGACTCCTGCCAGCTAGACATGTACACCTTACAACCATTCCATACACCAAATATAGTAGACCTATTGCATACAGTATAAGAAAAACAGACCAAAACACAAAAACTTAACTATAACCACTGAACCATGAAAATGAGGTCAAGGTCAGATGACACCTGCCAGTTGGACATGTACACCTTACAGTCCTTCCATACACCGAATATACTAGACCTATTGCTTATAGTATCTGAGATATGGACTTGACCACGAAAACTTAACCTTGTTCACTGATCCATGAAATGAGGTCGAGGTCAAGTGAAAACTGTCTGACGGGCATGAGGACCTTGCAAGGTACGCACATACCAAATATAGTTATCCTATTACTTATAATAAGAGAGAATTTAACATTACAAAAAATCTGAACTTTTTTTTCAAGTAGTCACTGAACCATGAAAATGAGGTCAAGGACATTGGACATGTGACTGACGGAAACTTCGTAACATGAGGCATCCATATACAAAGTATGAAGCATCCAGGTCTTCCATCTTCTAAAATATAAAGCTTTTAAGAAGTTAGCTAACGCCGCCGCCGCCGGATCGCTATCCCTATGTCGAGCTTTCTGCGACAAAAGTCGCAGGCTCGACAAAAACTATTGCATTTGAATGAAAATTATACCATTTGAATGAAAAATTATACCATTTGAATGAAAAATTATACCATCTGAATAAAAAATCTTGCATTTAAATGAAAAAATATACCATTCAAATAAAAAAATATTGCATTTAAATGAAGAAATATACCAATTAAATAAGAAATATTGCATTTAAATGAAAAATATCAAATTTTTGCAACCAATACCATGCCATATCCCTTTAATACAAAAACTCTTTAATTTAGTATTTTCAAGTAGTATTTACCCCAAATTGTGGGGTCAAGGCTCTATCACACTCATACATAAGTCTGGCTCTAAACTACAGGGGAATAACCATTGCAGATAACATAGGCAAGTTATTTAATCTAATTCTAAATAACAGGTTGACAAATTTTTTAAAAACTAGAAATATAATTAGAAGTGAGCAAATTGGTTTTTCGTTAGGATGTGGCACAACAGACCATATGTTTGTGTTAAATACCATCATTCAAAAATTTGTGAAAAATAATTCAAAGCCTCTGTATGCATGCTTTGTAGATTTTAAGTGTGCATTTGATTCAGTTTCACATCTCCACCTTTTTATAAACTTAAATGTATAGGTATTGGAACAAAGTTTTATGACATTATAAAATGTATGTATGAAAATACAGAAACCTGTGTAAAAATAGACCAACACAGGACAAACCTATTTAAATCAAATATAGGAGTAAGACAAGGGGATAATCTTAGTCCCTGCCTCTTTAACATATACTTAAATGATTTGCCAATCTATTTTGACCAAACATGTGACCCAATCCCATAAAAACACACACCCCTTAAATATTTTAATGTATGCTGATGATGTAGTTCTTTTATCATCATCTGAGCAAGGACTTCAAAATTGTGTTAATAAATTATTTGAATTAACAGTTGATTGTAAAATGACAGTTAACACCAAAAAGACCAAGGTTCTTGTATTTAACAAATCAGGACGACATAAAAATATTAAAATATCCTTAGGAAACCAGATTTTAGAATGTGTACAGAACTAAACATACTTAGGAATAAATTTTGCAGCATCTGGGAGCTTCCAAAAGGCAAAGAAAGAACTTTTAAAATAAAGGAATGAACGCTTATTTCAAATTAAGGAAGACCTTTTCAGTGGAAAGCCCAAAACCTGGTTATGTTACTTTGTTTAAATGTGTATACATGTTTTTGTTTAAATGTACTTTAAATCATTCTAATCATTCACTTTATTTTGTAATTCATTTGATTGTATAGCTCAAATTTTGGGCACCATGATTAGTTAATAAAAATATCTTGTATCTTGTATCTTGTTATCTGCTCTATGCTTACTGCATTGCCATGAAATGCGTCATAATAATTTCTAAGAGACTTTGTGATTGTGGAAACAAGATTTTTGTCAGGTTATTTGTTTAAATGATCATCTATTTTTATTATATGCACAATAATTTAATTTTGGATGTAACACCTCTTGTAATTGGCTGAAAGTTTTTTGTCTATCAGCTCATAGACATAATTTTGTCATGTGACCGTGACGTCATCAATGTTTTTTCATGATTTACTCCTTAAATATGGAATTTAAAATTAAATTATAAGTAATGACTAATAGTTTTTCCGTCTATTTGAAATAACCTCAAAAATGTGGTGCACACTTTTAAATAAACCGCTACGTGGGTTATTCATTGTGCACCTCATTTTGATGCTATTTCTTCATAGACAGAAAAAATATTACAGTCATTCCTTAAATATTCAGAAAACTTTGAGCTTGACATATGTTCTATTGAGTTGTTGCCTTGATATCTTGTTGACATCTTTTATTCTTCCATATTTAAATTATGGTGACTATCTTAAATGACTTAGTCTGCCATAATATCCCTCAATTATTAACTTAGATTTGCAATGAAGCCCTTAAATGATAATATTTGATAAAGCCACTTTTTTGGCCACTTCAATTTGAAAATCTAAAAGTATTAAAATTTTATAAATAAATATCCTTTAGATGTTCATAAGACAATATAAAGTTTTTCACATGATTTGAGCTACAGTTATTTCCCTTTTGTCACCATGTTGGAGGTCTACGTGCACAAATTCCTTCATAAATCAGCAGAATTCAACTTGTTATACTGAGCACCAGACTTTAGAAAAAGCTGTTTTCTGAACAAAGTAAGTTCTGAAAGCCTTGCTCAATTCATCTCTTACAATTTAGTAAGGATCTCTTATCAGACTTTTTTGTTCTACATGTTTCAATTTGGTTAGTCAAATAAGAAAAGCTACCATTTACACCTCCAAAATGGTGACCAAGGGAATGAACTCAAACTCAAATTACCTCCTATCAAAACCTATCTATAATCTGTAATAAATCAGTATTCATATTATTGAGTGTTGTCTTACATACAACTTCGTGCATGTAATTCAAAACTACAAAAAATGCCAAAATAGACTCACTTGAAGTCTTGTCATTAATATCAAGATAAAAAAGCTTCACCTCAAAATATATTTTGCTACAAGATTTCTTATTGACAGATCTAACGTGGTTAAAACTCTTTTTGGGTAAGCCTTTGTTCTGAACTAATTTTCCAAAAACTTTATGTAAAAGGCTATTTTAGGTCATATAATGAATTATGTCATTTTCAATATTTGAATTCTTGGAATTAGTTATTCTATAATAAAATGCTCCGCTGGGCGCAGCTTGATACGACCGCAGAGGTGGAACCCTGAACAGTTGGGGCAAGTATGGACACAACATTCAAGCTTGATACAGCACTGAATTTGGATTGTGATTAAATATTTGACACAGCATAGGTTTCTGACACAGAATGAATGTGGTCTAAGAACTTAAAAATTTCTAATTTACCTATTCAAACCACATCATTATTATTTGCTTTTATATATAAATCAGAAATAACCAATTTAAAATGGAAAATTTTAAAGAAAAAAAAAATCCCTCCCCCAAATTTTTTGAACCCCCTTATGATTCATCACCCCCAAACTCAATCCCAGCCTTCCCTTTGTGGTATGGTACCTTGCAGTTCAATTTCGGAGAGATCCATACACTTGAACACAAGTTATTGTCTGGAAACTAGAAAAATGCTTGTTTTTAGGCCCCTTTTTGGCCCCAAATTCCTAAACGTTTAGGGCAATTACCCCCAAACTCAAACCAAGCTTTCCCTTTAAGATATGGAACCTTATAGTACAATTTCAGAAAGATCCATACACGTACACACAAGTTATTGTTCTGAAACTAGAAAAATGCTTGTTTTTTGCCCCTTTTTGGCCCTAATTCCTAAAATTTTGAGGCAATTATCCCCAAAATCAATCCCAGCCTTCCCTTTGTGGTATGGTACCTTGCAGTACAATTTCAGAGAGATCCATACACTTGAACACAAGTTATTGTTTGGAAACTAGAAAAATGCTTATTTTTTGCCCCTTTTTGGTCCCTTATTCCTAAACGTTTTGGGCAATTACCCCCAAACTCAATTCCAGCTTTCCCTTTGTGATATGGAACCTTGTAGTACAATTTCAGAAAGATCCATACACTTACACACAAGTTATTATCATGAAACTAGAAAAATGCTTGTTTTGGCCCCTAATTCCTAAAATTTTGAGGCAATTACCCCCAAAATCAATCCCAACATTCCCTTTGTGAAATGGAACCTTGTGGTACAATGTCAGAGAGATCCATACACTAACACACAAGTTATGTCTGGAAGTTACAAAAATGCTTATTTTTGGCCCCTTTTTGGCCCCTAATTCCTTAACTGTTGGTACCATAACCCCTTAAATCAATCCCAACCTTCCTTTTGTGGTATTGAACCTTATGGTAAAATTTCATAGAGATCCATTCACTTAAACTAAAGTTAGAGTGCGAAAACCAATGTGTCTTCGGACGACGACGACGACGATGCCAACGTCATACCAATATACGACCGCAAATTTTTTTTGCAGTTGTATAAAAAATAAATTTTAAAGGGCCATAACCCTGGTCAAAAGTTATCAAATCATAATGTAAAATTTAAAACTAGAATGCAGTCTTATATTATTTTCTAACAAATTTATTCACACTAGCTTATGAAATTCTTTAAATAACTTACTGATTTGAACTTTCAATTGGTGATGACCTTTCAGGATTAACTATTTCTAAGTCGATGAACCCAGACTTTAACTTACTGACTAGAGCTTCATACTTTGCACTTACTCCTTCACATTTTGTAGTTACAGAGGTCCTGAATACAAGAACAAGTAAAATCATTACTCATAAAATAAATTGTGGTAAAATCAAAATATACCTCTGTGAAATATAAAGGTTTATATAACTAGCCAAAAATTATTTCTTTCTCTTTTAAAATTTCACATCAATAACTATTCTACTAATACCAAACAGTAACCAGATTTATTTTTCACTCCTCTATAAGCATACATATATATATATTCCCATAATCATTGAATAGTTCCACATCTAAATACCAAAGTAGTTATTCTATACATATATATTTCACCACTAAAAATGTAGATTGTCTTCATATATGATTTAGATTTTTGCCTGATTAGATAGCAGTCTATATTATTTACTACTGTTCTAGACTTGAGGCAATTTAGAGTTTGATATATTGTATAGACCTACACAAAGTCATGTTTTTCTCTGACTGTTAATGATGTCTTTACACTAAATCCATTGGAAGTTGGATGTGTACTGATTGATATTTTAGTCTTAGATACATGATTATTTTTATTAGTCGTTATTGGCTTTGAACTAGCTGTCAGCAACTGCAAGTACTCTCAGATCTGTACTTAGTGTCCTTTAGTTGTTAGGGATGAGGGATGGATAACTACCCTGCCACGTTTGGTCTGTGTTTTTGTTTTATGTTTTTCTGCTTTGTATTGATCTGATAATTAAGCCTTTTTCAACTGATTTTAATTGTTTGTTCTTATTTCTTATGATGTGCTGTTACACCACTGTCCCAGGTTAGGGGGAGTGTTGAGCGCACACAAACATGTTTAATCCCGCCACATTCTTTCTGTGCCTGTCCCAAGTCAGGAGCCTGTATTTCAGTGGTTGTCGTTGGTTCATGTCTGTCATATTTGTTTTTTGTTAATTGTTTTGTTATAAATTAGGCCGTTAGTTTTCTCAATTGAATTGTTTCATATTTTTCATGTCGGGGCCTTTCATAGCCGTCTATACGGTATGGGTTTTTCTCGTTGTTGAAAGCCGTACGGTTGCCTATAATTGCTTACATCCACTTTATTTGAACTTTGGTGGATAGTTGTCTCATTGGCAATCATACCTCATCTCCTTATGTTTATACTAGTCTACTATTGAAGGCTGTATTTTGACCTCTAGATGTATTTTGGGTTGTTAGGTTGATGTTTCATTAAAATATAACTCTATATATCCAAGCAAGGGTTCAATTGGCCTAGTGGCTTAAGAGGAGAAGATTTTTAATGTTTTGTTTAGACCAGGATTATATCTGTGGATTCATTCTTACTCTCTGGGTACTAGGGTACTAATTTTTGTGGAATTTGTGGGTACAGTTGAACAACATATTATGCAAATTTCTTATAGACACTTAAACAGAATTGGCTAAAACCAAGAAACCAAATATGCACAAAAATACATAAGAAAATATTAGAATCCACAGTAAGGATTGAGCTGACTTACAGCTGATGCTGAAGCTCTATAACTACATTTTCCATCTGTAAACGATCCTTCTTAGAATCACTATCAAATTTCTTGAACACATTACACAAATTCTGATGTTTTCTTTGTAAATCCTGAAATTGATGCTCCCTCATTCTAAGTAACTCTTCTAGATATCCCTGGAAGAATAACCTTACTATGAACTAAGTAAATGATGCATCCCTGATCAACAAGGAAATCAGTTGATACAAATAAAATCATAGTTGGGTATGAAGTCATAAATATTTGAAACATTAACAAAATAAATAAAATGCTCCGCAGGGCGCAGCTTGATACGACCGCAGAGGTCGAACCCTGAACAGTTGGGGCAAGTATGGACACAACATTCAAGCTTGATACAGCTCTGAATTTGGATTGTGATTAAATATTTGACACAGCATAGGTTTCTGACACAGAATGAATGTGGTCTAAGAACTTAAAAATTTTAAATTGGACATTCACCTATTATGTTCCAATATCCAAAATCTAAATACATGGTTAGATTCAGCATATCAAAGAACCCCAAGAATTCAATTTTTGATGAAATCAAACAAAGTTTAATTTTGGACCCTTTTGACCTCAATGTGGACAAAGTTGATAACAGGGCCCAAAAATCAAAAATCTAAATACATGGTTAGATTCAGCATATCAAAGAACCCCATATATTCAATTTTTGTTGAAATCAAACAAAGTTTAATTTTGGACCCCGATTTGGACCAACTTGAAAACTGGGCCCATAATCAAAAATCTAAATACATGTTTAGATTCAGCATATCAAAGGACCGTAAAAATTCAATTTTTGTTAAAATCAAACTAAGTTTAATTTTGGACCCTTTGGACCTTAATGTACACCAATTTCAAAACGGAACCAAAAATAAAGAATCTAAATACACGGTTAGATTTGGCATATCAAAGAACCCCAATAATTCAATTTTTGACGAAATCAAACAAAGTTAAATTTTGAACCCTTTGGAAATCAATGTGGACCAATTTAAAAACGGGTCCCAAAATCCAAAAACTTAATACACTGTTAGATTCAGCATATTAAAGAACCCCAAGAATTCAAGAATAAAACCCCATTGAAATTGATCAAGAAATAAGCAATTTATAAGAAGTATCTTCTTTTGCACAATACTGTGCAATTGAATATTTCTTGCTATTGCGCAATACTGTACAATTGACAATTTCTTGCTATTGCGCAATATTGTGCTATTGGATATTTCTTGCTATTGCGCAATACTGTTCAATTGAAGATTTCTTGCTATTGCGCAATACTGTGCAATTGAAGATTTCTTGCTATTGCACAATACTTATTATTTAACCCATTTCTATGACGTCAGTCTATTGTTCTTACTAAAGATTATTTTTCAAGAATCCACTGACCACAGTATTAACTTAAAAGAACTTAAATTATAACTTTAACCTTTTAACTTACGATCTTTTATCCTCTCAAAAACGAGTGGCATGTGTAGAATTCGAACCCGCGCGTATTTTCTTTATAATCAATACTCTTCAGTCTATGCATGATACCACTAGACCACGATGGCTGACATCAATCATTATATGAATAGTACTCTTAAAGCGCTTAATTGTCAATACATGTCATTTAACTGTATTTCTGTCTCATTGATAATTCACTTTTGTAATCTAATGAAATATATATATATCTTGGTTTGTTCATGTTTATTGATTTTTTTTTTTATTTTGTGTGTTATGTTTTTTTTTTTAAGAAATGGGTTAAAACTACTTCTTTGACAGTAAAAACAGAAACAAAATCATCGCCATTATATGAAAATGAAATATATATAATACTTTTACATGTTCTAGGATTAAAACAATATTTTGGTGCAGAAAAAAATTACAATGAAAAAATTTCATTCCGGATACTAGGTTCGAACTTTGCACTGCTAATATCACCATTATGACATTCGTTAACAACTAGACGATCACGGCTATGAACAGCTTGATGGTAAATGAATGAAATCCACATACTTATTCATTGTAAGTCCGTAGCAAGAGCAATTCTGATGGGGATTCAGAATGCATACCACAGATAAAACTAGTTTATTGACCGGTGAACGATATATGCCAAATGTAATAACGTTAAAATAATCTTAACTTAATGAAACGGAAACAGTTTAAACAAAATTTAAATATAATTGTTCAATTTAAATTGTTAGCACATACTTTTAATACTTATGGAAAGCAACATGAATTTGAGCATTATCATGAAATGGCAGGTTTATGGCATCAACGCTAGTAATATTTATCTGACTAAGAACGGCTTCACGGTGATTAATCTCCAATATACCAATTCAAGTTGCTAAATATTATATAAATACATTTTGAAGGTTCTAAATTTTGGTAATTAAAATTTTTTAACTTTTCAAAACAAGATAAATAAATTCTGGATATTAATATACGTCTTTTTGAATAAATTAAATATACCAAAATCTATTCAATTTAAATAATTTGTAATGATTAAACATTATATGAAATATGTATTTTATACAAAAATAAAATCTGGTGTTAAAAAGGGGAGCTAACACCCCATTTAAGTTATTTTAAACTTATGTTAACTTGTCAAATGTCTAAATATAGATGCGAACCGTGTGGATTTAATCATTTCCAGCTATTATAGAATAAAAAAGACAAAATACGAAACTATTTTTATGAGATATCGTTGATTCATTGTCAAAACGTAAAACAGACAGTCGTTTTACTAGAAATGGGTTAAGCTAGAGAATTGATAAGAAGTAGTGGATTCGGAAACGATAATCAACTTGCGACTAAAGTCGCTCGTTGATTATCGTTTACGAATCCACTACTTCTTATCAATTCTCTACTACATAATAACTTACACATCCTGTTTGGTGTGTATCTCCTACCATATCATTATTATTTGCTTTTAAATATAAATCAGAAATAACCAACTTAAAATGGAAAATTTTAAAAGAAAAAAAAAAGGAAAAAAAGAAAAAAAAAAAAATCCTCCCCCCCCAAATTTTTTGAACCCCCTTATGATTCATCACCTCCAAACTCAATCCCAGCCTTCCCTTTGTGGTATGGTACCTTGCAGTACAATTTCAGAGAGATCCATACACTTGAACACAAGTAATTGTCTGGAAACTAGAAAAATGCTTATTTTTGGCCCCTTTTTGGCCCCCAATTCCAAAACGTTTTGGGCAATTACCCCCAAACTCAATTCCAGTTTTCCCTTTGTGATATGGAACCTTGTAGTACAATTTCAGAAATATCCAAACACTTATACACAAGTTATTGTCCTGAAACTAGAAAAATGCTTGTTTTTTGCCCCTTTTTTGGCCCCTAATTCCTAAAATTTTGAGGCAATTATCCCCAAAATCAATCCGAGCATTCCCTTTGTGATATGGAACCTTGTGGTACAATGTCAGAGAGATCCATACACTTACACACAAGTTATTGTCTGGAAGTTACAAAAATGCTTATTTTTGGCCCCTTTTTGGCCCCTAATTCCTTAACTGTTGGTACCATAACCCCCAAAATCAATCCCAACCTTCCTTTCGTGGTATACAACCTTATGGTAAAATTTCATGGAGATCCATTCACTTAAACTAAAGTTAGAGTGCAAAAACCAATGTGTCTTCGGACGACGCCGGACGACGACGACGACGACGACGACGACGCCAACGTCATACCAATATACGACCAAATAATTTTTAATTTTTGCGGTCGTATAAAAATAATATGGACATCTTAAAAAAGAATTAAATGCTCCGCTGGGCGCAGCTTGATACAACCACAGAGGTCGAACCCTGAACAGTTGGGGCAAGTATGGACACAACATTCAAGCTTGATACAGCTCTGAATTTGGTTTGTGATTAAATATTTGACACAGCATAGGTTTCTGACACAGAATGAATGTGGTCTAAGAACTTAAAAATTTTAAATTGGACATTCACCTTTTATGGTCCAATATCCAAAATCTAAATACATGGTTAGATTCAGCATATCAAAGAATCCAAAGAATTCAATTTTTGATGAAATCAAACAAAGTTTAATTTTGGACCCTTTTGACCTCAATGTGGACCAATTTGATAACAGGGCCCACAAATCAAAATACATGGTTAGATTCAGAATATCAAAGAACCCCAAGAATTCAATTTTGGTTAAAATCAAACTAAGTTTAATTTTGGACCCTTTGGACCTTAATGTAGACTAATTTAAAAAACGGGACCCAAAATTAAAAATCTAAATACACGGTTAGATTTGGCATATCAAAGAACCCCAATAATTCAATTTTTGATGAAATCAAACAAAGTTTAGTTTTGGACCCTTTTGACCTCAATATGAACAAATTTGATAGTGGGGCCCACAAATCAAAAATCTAAATACATGGTTAGATTCAGCATATCAAAGAACCCCATATATTCAATTTTTGTTGAAATCAAACAAAGTTTAATTTTGGACCCCAATTTGGACCAACTTGAAAACTGGGCCCAAAATTTAAAATCTAAATACATGTTTAGATTCAGCATATCAAAGAACCCCATATATTCAATTTTTGTTAAAATCAAACTAAGTTTAATTTTGGACCCTTTGGACCTTAAAGTCGACCAATTTGAAAACTGGACCCAAAATTAAAAATCTAAATACACGGTCAGATTTGGCATAACAAATAAATAAATGTGGTCAAACATTTTACAAATCTAATGCGCCATACTGTGCAATTAAAGATTACTTCTTGAAATTGTCAATATTTGAAATTTGAAAAAAAAATAATATTTGAAGAATAATTCTTTTTAATTTCTGATATCTGTAATGAGTAAAATTGACCCCCCACAATTTCTTTTTACCCCCCCCCCCCCCCCCCCCCCCCCCGCCCCTTTTTCCCCAAAAAAATTCTTTCCCTCAAGATATGGTCATAATCTCAATTCACAATTCAAATTTCCAATGGAATTTGCAACCATAATTACCCATTTAAATTTACCATAGTGCTAACTTAATCTATTTTATAATAGAATTTAAAATATGGTGTCAAATCTTTCATATGGATTTTTTTGCAAAAAAAAAAAAGATGCAACATTTGCAGATATTTTTACTGGTCTTCCTTTATAAATATGCATTTCTTTAAACATAATTTAAAAGCAGTGTAAGGGAAGTAATCAAAACGTTGTATTTGGATTACCTCCCTTACACTGTTTTAAATTGTCTTATATGTTCATTTACCATTACTTTATACATAATTTAAAAGCAGTGTAAGGGAGGTAATTCAAATGATGTATTTGATTTATCTCCCTTACACTGCTTTAAATTATGTTTTGTACTAAAGTATTTGTCCATTAACCAGGACAACCTTGTTTTTCCCCCTTTTTTGCCCCTAATTCCTAAACGGTTTGAGCCATAACCCCCAAAGCAAGTCCTAACCATCCCTTTGTGGTATGGAAACTTGTGGTATAATTTCAGAGAGATCCATACACCGTTCCACAAGTTATTGTCTGGAAACTAGAAAATGCTTATTTTTGGCCCCTAATTCCTTAACTGTTGGTACCATAACCCCCAAAATCAATCCCAACCTTCCTTTTGTGGTATTTAACCTTATGGTAAAATTTCATAGAGATCCATTCACTTAAACTAAAGTTATAGTGCGAAAATCAATGTGTCTTCGGACGACGACGACGCTGCCAACGTCATACCAATATACGACCGCAAAAATTTTTGGCGCTCATATAAAAATGCATAAAATAAAAAAATATGCATTTAATTCAGCAAAATATTGTAAAATTTATACATCTGAAGGTAAGGCTTTAAAAATCTATCATATATATGTATGCACTCATATAATTATTTTCGTCCTCATCTAGAACTTAACCTTAATATTATAAGAACAATGTAATGACAAGTCTTTCCTGTTACAAACTTTTTAAAAAATTCAGTTTAAGAAAAATAAGGCTAAAAAAGTTTATATCAACAACATACCATGGATGACAAACAATTTGTCTGAGACAAAACATTCAGGCACTATGAATGCTTAACATCTAAGGCATTAGGAATACTGGTCCAAAATTGTAAAATAGCAATATACAAAAATAAAATCAAACATTTGATAATTAATATATAATCTAGTCTGTACCTTTTGTTCTTTTATAGTTTTATGAGTTCTTTCCAGTTCTCTGAATTTGACTTCCCATGAATCATCAGATGACCTAACAACAGAGGAAGATGTTCTGCCTGCATCAGTGCTTAATTGTTCCAACTCTTCAAAATCTTTGATTGCACTTTCTTCACTAAAATAATTAAAATAAAGTACCATGGATGATTAGAGTCCATTTTGACCTTATTTTGTAATTTCTCCCCAAGTTCTAAAAAATCATCAAAATGGTCAAAATTCTGAATTGCCTTTCACAAAATTATCTTATGCTTGCTCAATACTGATATCTTTAAACTATGCAATATCTCAGTACAAAGCTGTAGCATTGCTATTGTGGAAGACTTGGAATGTCATTCAGAACAATGCAAAACTGTATCAAAATCCAGTGCCTTTATCAGATTTTTAAATAACTTTTGATTTATTGTAAATTTGCTTTATCAAATTTACAAAGTAAAACAACAATTCAAACAATCACATAATTTATAAAGGCAGTTGGTTTTCTCTTATAAATTGTTTGAATTTATTCATGCCAGGGCCTTTTATAGCTTACTATACAGTATTGGTTTTGCTCATAAAAAGCTTCTGTCCAAATTTCATAGAATTAAATCAAGGTTTGACAAAGTTATTGGTTTCTATAAAAACTTTAACCACAGACTGAACCTAAATATTGACACTGTCCACGCCAACGGAATGTACAATTGCTATGTCTTGCTTCTGCAACATAAATGATCATAAATGTTGCAGGCTCGACAAAAAATTGAATTTTATCTGTAATTCATAATTATAAAATCATAAACTAATAAAATGCTTCGCTGGGTGCAGCTTGATACGACCGCAGAGGTCGAACCCTGAACAGTTGGGGCAAGTATGGACACAACATTCAAGCTTGATACAGCTCTGAATTTGGATTGTGATTAAATATTTGACACAGCATAGGTTTCTGACACAGAAAGAATGTGGTCTAAGAACTTCAATTTTTTTAATTTACCTATTATGGTCCAATGTCCAAAATCAAAATACATGGTTAGATTCAGCATGTCAAAGAACCCCATATATTCAATTTTTGTTGAAATCAAACAAAGTTTAATTTTGGACCCCAACTTGGACAAACTTGAAAACTGGTCCCATAATCAAAAATCTAAACACATGTTTAGATTCAGCATATCAAAGTACCCCAAGAATTCAATTTTTGTTAAAATCAAACAAAGTTTAATTTTGGACCCTTTGGACCTTAATGTAGACCAATTTAAAAAAAGGGACCCAAAATTAAAAATCTAAAAACATGGTTAGATTTGGCATATCAAAGAACCCCAATAATTCAATTTTTGATGAAATCAAACAAAGTTTAATTTTGGACCCTTTTGACCTCAATATGAACCAATTTGATAGAGGGCCCACAAATAAAAAATCTAAATACATGGTAAGATTCAGCATATCAAAGAACCCCATATATTCAATTTTTGTTGAAATCAAACAAAGTTTAATTTTGGACCCCAATTTGGACCAACTTGAAAACTGGGCCAAAAATCTAAAATCTAAATACATGTTTAGATTCAGCATATCAAAGAACCCCATATATTCAATTTTTGTTGAAATCAAACAAAGTTTAATTTTGGACCCCAACTTGGACCAACTTGAAAACTGGGCCCATAATCAAAAATCTAAACACATATTTAGATTCAGCATATCAAAGAACCCCAAAAATTCAATTTTTGTTAAAATCAAAACTAAGTTTAATTTTGGACCCTTTGGACCTTAATGTAGACCATTTTAAAAAACGGGACCCAAAATTAAAAATCTAAATACACGGTTAGATTTGGCATATCAAAGAACCCCAATAATTCAATTTTTGATGAAATCAAACAAAGTTTAATTTTGGACCCTTTTGACCTCAATATGAACCAATTTCATAGCGGGCCCACAAATAAAAAATCTAAATACATGGTAAGATTCAGCATATCAAAGAACCCCATATATTCAATTTTTGTTGAAATCAAACAAAGTTTAATTTTGGACCCCAATTTGGACCAACTTGAAAACTGGGCCAAAAATCTAAAATCTAAATACATGTTTAGATTCAGCATATCAAAGAACCCCATATATTCAATTTTTGTTGAAATCAAACAAAGTTTAATTTAGGACCCCAACTTGGACCAACTTGAAAACTGGGCCCATAATCAAAAATCTAAACACATGTTTAGATTCAGCATATCAAAGAACTCCAAGAATTCAATTTTTGTTAAAATCAAACTAAGTTTAATTTTGGACCCTTTGGACCTTAATGTAGACCAATTTAAAAAACGGGACCCAAAATTAAAAATCTAAATACATGGTTAGATTTGGCATATCAAAGAACCCCAATAATTCAATTTTTGATGAAATCAAACAAAGTTTAATTTTGGACCCTTTTGACCTCAATATGAACCAATTTGATAGCGGGGTCCACAAATAAAAAATTCGTAAGGGTTCCGGGGAACCCAGTGTCTCGCCTACTTTTTCTGTTAATCGCAGGCTCAACAAAAATGAGGAAGTAAATCAATAAAAATATTCCTCTTGATACTATCTTTTGATTGTAGGAAGCTTATGCCCAAGTTTGGTAAAAATCCAGGATAGTTTATGAATCTAATAAATGTTTAAAAACTTTAACTGTAGACTGAATGTAATGTTAACTGCAAAAAACAAAATTTCCTTCTAGATACTAGCATTTGATCATAAACAAGCTTCTGTCCAAGTTTGGTACAAATCCAAAATAGTATAAGAAAGTTATTAAAATTTTAAAAACTTTTAACCACAGAGTGAATATGTTGTTTCCTGGCAGAAAATCTAAGTCCATTTAAAAGTAAAATACGAAAAAAATGGATTTATTTTTTTACAAAATTTCCTTCTAGATACTAGCTTTTGATCATAAACAAGCTTCTGTCCAAGTTTGGTACAAATCCAAAATAGTATAAGAAAGTTATTAAAATTTTAAAAACTTTAACCACAGAGTGAATGTGTTGTTTCCCAGCAGAAAATCTAAGTCCATTTAAAAGTAAAATAAGGAAAAAATGGATTTATTTTTTTACAAAATTTACTTCTAGATACTATCTTATGATCATAAACAAGCTTCTGTCCAAGTTTGGTACAAACCCAGGATAGTTTAAGAAAGTTATTAAAATTTTTAAAACTTTAACCACAGAGTGAATGTAATATTTCCCGGCAGAAAAACTAAGTCCATTTATAAGTTAAATACGGAAAAAATGGAATTTTATTTTTACAAAATTTACTTCTGGATACTATCTTATGATCATAAACAAGCTTCTGTCCAAGTTTGGTAGAAATCCAGGATAGTATAAGAAAGTTATTAAAATTTCAAAAACTTTAACCACAGAGTGAATATTTGTGGACGCCGCCGACGACGACGACGCCGACGGAATGTAGGATCGCTATGTCTCACTTTTTCGACTAAAGTCGAAGGCTCGACAAAAATCTAAATACATGGTTAGATTCAGCATATCAAAGAACCCCATATATTCAATTTTTGTTGAAATCAAACAAAGTTTAATTTTGGACCCCAATTTGGACCCAACTTGAAAACTGGGCCAAAAATCAAAAATCTAAACACATGTTTAGATTCAGCATATCAAAGAACCCCATATATTCAATTTTTGTTAAAATCAAACAAAGTTTAATTTTGGACCCTTTGGACCTCATTGTAGACCAATTTGAAAACTGGACCCAAAATTAAAAATCTAAATGCACGGTTAGATTCGGCATAACAAATAAATAAATGTGGTCAAAGATTTTACAAATCTAATGCGCCATACTGGTCTTCCTTTATAAATATGCATTTCTTTAAACATAATTTAAAAGCAGTGTAAGGGAAGTAACCAAAACGTTGTATTTGGATTACCTCCCTTACACTGTTTTAAATTATCTTAATTGTTCATTAACCATTACTTTATACATAATTTAAAAGCAGTGTAAGGGAGATAATTTCAATGATGTATTTGATTTATCTCCCTTACACTGCTTTAAATTATGTTTTGTACTAAAGTATTTGTCCATTAATGAGGACAACCTTGTTTTTCCCCTAATTCTTAAACGGTTTGAGCAATAACCCCCCAAAGCAAATCCTAACCATCCCGTTGTGGTATGGAAACTTGTAGTATAATTTCAGAGAGATCCATACACCGTTCCACAGTTATTGTCTGGAAACTAGAAAATGCTTATTTTTGGCCCCTTTTTGGCCCCTAATTCCTTAACTGTTGGTACCATAACCCCCAAAATCAATCCCCACCTTCCTTTTGTGGTATTGAACCTTATGGTAAAATTTCATAGAGATCCATTAACTTAAACTAAAGTTAGAATGCGAAAACTAATGTGTCTTCAGACGACAACGACGCCGGACGACGACGACGACGACGACGCCAACGTCATACCAATATACGACCACAAAAATTTTTTTGCGGTCGTATAAAAATTAGCTCAATATCAGGCATAACAAAAAAAGTCCTGAAATCTTGTAGATTTTGGAAGGGTGGAACGACTAAATGACAGACAAGGGTTCCGTTAACACGCCACTAATTGTATTATATGGTATATATATAGTGGGAATAGTCAAATAATTTCTTTCACTTTTCTTGATGACAAGAGAAGAGTCTATATGATGTACATACAGTTTTTCAATACTAAAACACTAAAAAAATAATATATAAAGGGGGTGTCTAAAGTATTGGTGCTTTAGCTGGGTTCTGATCATCAATTCGTTAACACTCATTACATGTTTTAATAAAATGCTCCGCTGGGCGCAGCTTCATATGACCGCAGAGGTTGAACCCTGAACAGTTGGGGCAAGTATGGACACAACATTCAAGCTTGATACAGCACTGAATTTGGATTGTGATTAAATATTTGACACAGCATAGGTTTCTGACACAGAATGAATGTGGTCTAAGAACTTAAAAAATTTTAATTTACCTATTCAAACCATATCATTATTATTTGCTTTTATATATAAATCAGAAATAACCAATTAAAAATGGAAAATTTTGAAGAAAAAAAAGGAAAAAAAATCCCCCCCCCCCAAATTTTTTGAACCCCCTTATGATTCATCACCCCCAAACTCAATCCCAGCCTTCCCTTTGTGATATGGTACCTTGCAGTACAATTTCAGAGAGATCCATACACTTGAACACAAGTTATTGTCTGGAAACTAGAAAAATGCTTGTTTTTTGGCCCCTTTTTGGCCCCAAATTCCTAAACGTTTCAGGCAATTACCCCCAAACTCAAACCAAGCTTTCCCTTTGTGATATGGAACCTTGTAGTACAATTTCATAAAGATCCATACACTTACACACAAGTTATTGTCCTGAAACTAGAAAAATGCTTGTTTTTTTTTCCCTTTTTGGCCCCTAATTCCTAAAATTTTGAGGCAATTACCCCATAAAACAATCCCAACCTTCCTTTGTGGTATGGTACCTTGCAGTACAATTTCAGAGAGACCCATACACTTGAACACAAGTTATTGTCTGGAAACTAGAAAAATGCTTATTTTTGGCCCCTTTTTGGCCCTAATTCCTAAATGTTTTGGGCAATTACCCCCAAACTCAATTCCAGCTTTCCCTTTGTGATAGGGAACCTTGTAGTACAATTTCATAAAGATCCATACACTTACACACAAGTTACTGTCATGAAACTAGAAAAATGCTTGTTTTTTGCCCCTTTTTTGGCCCCTAATTCGTTAAATTTAGAGGCTATTCCCCCAAAATCAATCCCAGCATTCCCTTTGTGATATGGAACCTTGTGGTACAATGTAAGAGAGATCCATACACTAACACACAAGTTATGTATGGAAGTAACAAAAATGCTTATTTTTGGCCCCTAATTCCTTAACTGTTGGTACCATAAACCCCAAAATCAATCCCATCCTTCCTTTTGTGGTATTGAACCTTATGGTAAAATTTCATAGAGATCCATTCACTTAAACTAAAGTTAGAGTGCGAAAACTAATGTGTCTTCGGACGACGACGACGACGCCGCCAACGTCATACCAATATCCGACTGCAAAATTTGTTTGCGGTCGTATAAAAATAAATTATTTGTTTATTGTTTTAGCAAATAAGATTTTATATTGTACAAGCAATTTACATACCTCTGTTGAAAAATGAGGTATGGTGTGTAGTCAATAAACAGTGGACTTTTCAATTCTTGATGCTGTCCCTTTAAGCAAAAACTGAAAAGAAAAGTAACAAAATACTGATTGATACTACTAATCATCAACAGAGAAATTAATAATTCATTGTAACATGTTAACTAAGTAAATAATTTTAAGTATTTTTAAGTACTACATTTTGCTAATTGAAAATAAAAGGCTCATAACTTGTGCACATTAAAATAAACACATGCACAATAAAAGCCATTTCATCTTGACATTTATTAAACTTGAGGACCATATTCACAATCATTAATCTTTCTGTTAACTATTTTCTGGTTTTTTAAAATCATTAACGTTTGTTAAAATTCAGCATATCAATATCTATTAAAATGTGTTTTATTGAACATTGTACTTCATATTAAATGAGATGTAATGTAGAATGTTAATATATGATCCTCAGCAAGCTCAGAGTAGATTCTTAGAAACTCAGAATGATGGACTAAGATGGTGAAAAATCTGGAAGTCATCATCATGTTAAGTCTGAGACAAGTCGTTTTGATAAAATATAATACTACCTAAAATCAATAGAATTGAGTCCCAGCAAAACTCCACATAAAACATTGATATCTTCTGACAAAATTACTGACCCATCTTGATAAAATCTCCTAAAAAAGAAACATTAATAAATCTTTGATTCAATGCTCCTTCTGTTCATGATAAATATTTTCATATTCCTGTACAATTCTACACTTCAATTAACATTAGATTGGGGCACTCATCTGTAACCATCTGAGTTTTTGGATCTTGATGGAATTTTATCACGGGTCATTTCTAAAATTTCATTCATCCCTAAGCATTGCGGGCACAAATTTTATCAAATTTATTCCAGCGCCAGATTGATAGACCCTGCTACTTACTACTTGTAATAGCACCACATGGGCTATCCCCCTTGCAGACCTTGCACACCCCGGCTGCAGATGAGACGCCTAGTCTAATCCCCTTGGTGGAGAACCTTCGCTTCACATTCCTGGCTGGCGTATTGTCGGGCAGGCAGGTTCTTCCTCACACTACAGGTTGCAATTTGACTTGCTCGGCAGGAACTTCTAAATTTTTAATTATGCTGAGTATTTCTCAAGGGCCAAAACATTTTGTTACTGAATTTATTGTATTAATAAATATTTTTCATACGAAGATTCTGTCTGCTTTGAGCCAGTATGATTTATTGAGACTATGTTTTGGTTTACACACATATACCCCCTATCACACTTATGCTAACATTAAATTATTTGGGAGTTGGTTTATAAAATTTTGACTTGTTACAATTTACTTTTGACTTAAAACTCAACATTGGGGACTTTGTGGATTGTGATATTGAATTTGAGTTTGGCTATCAAGAGAGTTACATCAGAACTAAGAAAACATTGGATCTATAAGGATTTGATTCATCACAAATACAACAGAAATTAAAACTTTGAAATACATGTATTCTACTAAAATACTGGTTGATGTGAACATAAGCATTTCATTTTATCAATGGAAGTCTTACATACTTAAATTTGGTCTAGAGGGTAGTTAAATAAAATATGTCTCAAGATTAGTAAGCCTGCTGTTGGTGACTTAAAATGTTTTCTTCATGGACACAATAAACTTATAGTCATATTTACATACCAATAAACTATTACAGATAATAAGACACCACCTATAAAACTCCAAAAGTATGTTTACATTATGGGACGACAATTAATACATCACAAAATTTACACCATACACAACTACAAAGACAAGTTTGTATAAATTTTGTCATATAAAAAAAAAATTGAAAAAACATTCATTTATAAACTTTATAAGCTGGAAATATCCATAGCAGAAAATAAATGTCTGAGTCTTCCAAGTGTGTGACATATGTGGCCTGTCGTTTCCAAATTATATAAGCAGTAATGGGTAGGTCCCTGTTTTTTGCATTTTAACTCCAATAAATTGCTTCGACGAGCGCAGCTGGATAGGACCGCAGAGGTCCAACCCTGAACAGTTGGGGCAAAAATGGACACAATATTCGCGCTTGATACAGGTCTGAATTTGGATTGTAATTAAATATTTGACACATAATAGGTTTCTAACTGTAGTCAAAGAACTTAGAATTGGTTATATGATTTGAATTTATATTCAATTTTTTGCTTTTGTGCAATACATTTTGCTGTTGCAAATTGACCCTCCCTCCCCCCACAAAAATAAAAAAAAAAATTACCCCCTTTTTTTTTTGCTTTTGTGCAATGCACTATGCTGTTGCGTATTAACCCCCCTTTTTTTGGCAAAAAAAAATAATATTTGAAGAGTTTTTAATTTCTGAAATCTAAAATGAGAAAAAATTGACCCCACACAATTTCTTTTTACCCCCCCCCCCCCCCCCCCCCCTTTTTCCAAATTTTTTTTCACCTCCCCCCTTTTTCCCCAAAAAAAAATTCTTTCCCTCAAGATATGGTCATAATCTCAATTCAAATTTCCATTGGAGTTTGCAACCATAATTACCCATTTAAATACATCATAAAAGTCTTAAAATAGAAAATGACATACATAATCATGGCTAAAATTAATATTCCTTAATGGTAACTTCTAAAAATAAATTGACAGATAATCATCTCAAGACAATACAACATATCTTTATCAGGGGTTCAAATTAACATTTGGTACTGGAAGGTCCAGGACCTTTGACACTCCAAACTGAAAGGTCCACAACCTAAATTCCAGGTCCTACTTTTACTTGAAATATTTCCTAACATAGTAAGATACAAGTAACAAAATTAATGTGCTGTTGGTGTTAGGTCAACTTGTTTCATTGTCAAAGTCACTGTTGTATAAAATATTTAATAACAATTGTAATTGTCTTGTATATTATAAATTCAGATAATCTTTTTTTTTTTGTTATTGAGGAGGGTGTCACCATGGATGGGTGTGTTGTCTCAACTATTGGTATTTTATTACTACTTATACCATTTTATAAAACAGTTCAAATTCAAAGCTGTTTAAGCAGAGACGTATATACATGTGTATATATGTCTCTGGTTTAAGTGTATCATATCTAGTTGCACTATTATAATGCATTAGTTCCTCTGTGAAAATAAGATAAGAAACTGCCAGATTTGTACTGGTCCTTTAAGATTGAGAAGACATTACCTCTTGGAATTGTACTAATACGTTTACACTATACAAAAATCTACATGTAATATCAATATTTATTAATGATAAAGAAAATTACTGTCACACCCTATAAAATATCTGTTTTCAGGAGCAAGAATCATTTTTTAACATAAAAAAAATTATGCAATTTTCTGTGAATTGTAAGGTGAGCAATTACATTTTAAGAATGAAATTGTTGATTCCATTTGAATGGAGTGATAATTCAGAAAGTCCTCAGGGAATGGCTGTAAATTTTTGTTTAAGGTTTCCTTAACTTCGGAGATAACAAATCCTAAGAACAATGAATCAATTTGGAGTAGTTTATCAACAAAAACTGACAAAGTTTCCCACTCAGATCAGCAGATTAACAAATGCCCAGAAGTAATTTTTGTAGAGAACCTTAATAAATTATGCTTTTATGCTTTTAAGTATCTATGGAGATTTCTATTTCAGAGATAAACATAGGAAAACTCAACACAATATCTTAAAATCTTAGTGGTTGTCCATTACAAATTATATTAAATTTATATACCTGACAATTTTTGTCTGTAGAATTGCATTAGACAGATATTCTGACAGTCTCTTCTCCATAAGCACACATCTTATCCAGGCTCTTCCCTTAGAAATAAAAAAAACAAAACACATACCAATTAATGAAAAAACATAATGAAGACAGGCTTTTCCCTCCTAATTTACATAATCACATATAAAAAACGAAATATAATTTAGTTTTTGTAGAAATTCTAAAAAATTTAACCATTCACAAGTATATATTTGGAATTGCAGCATCACTTTAATCTAAATTTGTTTTTTTTTCTTGTAACTATTATCTACAACTTAAACAAAGTTGATGAATTATAAGTCTAACCTTTCCTATTGGAGACTTGACATTCTCAAGTGTAGCAATACTGGTGATACAGTTGTTTGGAAGATAGCGACATGCTGTCTGAATAAAATCCCAAAATGGTCGAACTTCTTCTATACCATACCATGTTCTTTGTGCTGGATGTTGTATATAGAATAACCAATGAAATAACATATATAGTTATGGACTGGCTTGCACAAACGTCAATAAACATCACATTTTAAGTGTTATTTTAAGCATTAAATAAATGGGGAATGTGTCCATGGGACACAGATGATGCCCCCCGCTTGCATATCATATAAAAGTTATAAAGGGACATAACTGAAGAACAGTTAAAGTGACGATACCCAAATTTGTACTTGATCTGAGTTTTGTGGTAATAAGTATTGTGTATAAGTTCTAAAGTTAGAGAACAGAAACGAAAAATTCAGCATTTTTTTCATTTGTAAAGGGGCATAACTCTAGAACAGTAAAAGTGTCAACACCAAAATTCAAACTTGAACTGTATTTTGTTGTAATAAGCATTGTGTATAAGTTTCATAACATTTGTTTGAGGCTAATAAAGTAAGAGAATGGAAATGAAAAATTCAGCAATTTTTCCATTTGTAAAGGGGCATAACTCTAGAAAGGTTAAAGTGACGCCACCAAAATTCAAACTTGATCTGTGTTTTGTGGTAATAAGCATTGTGTATACGTTTCATAACATTTGGTTGAGGCTAACTTAAGTTAGAGAACGGAAATGAAAAATTCAGCAATTTTTCCATTTGTAAAGGGGCATAACTTTAGAATGGTTTAAGTGACACCACCAAAATTCATACTTGATCTGTATTTTGTGGTATTAAGCATTGTGTGTAAGTTTCATAACATTTGTTTGAGACAAACTAAAGTTAGAGAATGGAAACCAAATTTGGGACATACGTACGTACGTACGTACGTACAGACGGACAAGGGTAAAACTTAATGCCCCCTCCGCTACGGCGGGGGCATAATAAGGAATCTACAGTAAATCAGAATAAACTTCATTAGTATATTGGAGGGGTAAAATAAGTGATGTGCAAATAAAACACATACAGTCTCCTCAAATGAAAATACAGAAAATTAAAAGTATTGATGGATCTCATGGAAATCATCTTACTTCTTTTCATTTTAACAGCTCTTTAATATATTAAAACTGAGCACCTTGGACATTATCTCATCATGCTTATAGGGAAATTACAAACTAAACAACAGTGTTAGTTCTTCCTGAATTCATGTCTCAATCATGTACTAAAAAATGTTATAAATATATAGATTCTTACATTGGTATACTAGTGGATTATCTGATTTATCCAATCGAGAAAGTTAAATTATTGAATTTTAAAGTTTGAGCCTCGCCGGAGACTTTAAAATTGATAATTTAACTATCAAGATTCGATAAATCTGATAGTCCACGAGTAACTATGTAAGAATCTGTTTCTCTGATGATTATCAAATAAATTTTCATCTTTGATAAATGAAAATCCCCTTCGAGTGCCTTCCACATTTCACAAAGTTGTCAATTTCATTAGCACATTTTGATTCATCCAGTGAGCTGAGAAAGGTTATAATTATGACCCTTAAACTAATATAATCATCTTCTGAGATCATTGGCAACAACACATTAAATTTTTTAATACAATTGGTCCAGAAAGGGTTTTATTGCCAAAGAATTAGAGAAAGTTTATTACATCACATTTTAAATACTATCTTGTATAAGCCTTTGACCTTTCTTAACTCTTGAGTTCCACTCTCACGCTTGTATAAGAGTCCTAAGTTAGTTGATACTTTGTGGCAAATACCATAACTGTGCAATATTTTCAAAATAACTAATCCAAGAATTTGAATGTCCAACACGTTCAACCAAGGATAAAACCACATTAATGTATGTGAATGTGTGAATTATCACTGTTTTTCTATCTTGAGTGGATTTTTTTCAAAATTTGTCTGTAACTGTATCACATTTTGTGAAGTCAGAATTTTTTGTGATGTTTCTGACTGCCAAAACATCAGTTTTACATTAGTTAGAACTTAATTTTCATATCTGATTACTTTATTTTTATGCTGCATTTACTACATATTTCTATCTTGCTTTTTTGTTCATTAAACAAAACTCACAACAAAAAATGCATGCAATAACTTCTAAATTTTCAGTACTAATAGATTAACTGACTTGACATTTTTGCAAATAACCTGAAGAAGTATTGAAACTGTAATGTATAAATGTAATATGCTGAAGTACATTTGTACCGTAATCTGTTTATGAAGATAACAATCAACGAAGACCACTTATCTGACTCTGACTCTACTCAAACTAAAGAACATATACATGTAGTTATACAACCTTTCTGCCTGTATGTCAAGATCTGTTCAATAGCTGCACAAAAATTAATGAGTTCTTCACAATCATCATCTATATTGGTAATTGATGCCTTGTCAATCAGTGTTTTAACTGTCAACCTAAAAATTAAACAATGTTAATTCAAATAGTATCATTCAATACCTGATATCTCAGAGAGACCTACGTCATGTCAAGCTTGTATATAATCTATAAGTCCCTACTACAAGCGTGTCTTACTCACTGGCAAAAAAAAAATATGCAACTATTACTAGTAATGACAACATATTAGACTTGTCTACTACTAACACACTATAATTCATAAATAGATTTATTTAATAGAAGTGATCAACTATTAGAATTCACAGAGCTGACCTAAATATAGTCCTTGTTGACTGGCTTATTAAATCACTAAATTTCAATATGAAATCAACTCTTAAAAGTAAAACCAAATTACAACCATAAACTATTTCAGTATCATCTAGTACCAATAGGCTAAAAAGATAACAATAAAATTGAGAATGGAAATGGGGAATGTGTCAAAGAGACAACAACCCGACCACAGAACAGACAACAGCAGAAGGCCACCAACAGGTCTTCAATGCAGCGAGAAATTCCCGCACCCGGAGGCGTCCTTCAGCTGGCCCCTAAACAAATATATATACTAGTTCAGTGATAATGAACGCCATACTAAACTCCAAATTGTACACAAGAAACTAAAATTAAAAATAATACAAGACTAACAAAGGCTAGAGGCTCCTGACTTGGGACAGACTACTATCCAACCACAGTGTGTTACTGTGGAATGTAATTGTCTGAACATTAAACTGTTATACAGCACCTATACAGCTTGTATTATCCTTACAAGTTTAGGGCTATTGTCTATATGACATGAGTTTTGAATGTCCTGTTGATATCATCTGCCTCTTTTTTGTGTTGTCTCTACAACTTATGAGTTTAGAATTTTCCATTGGTACCTTTTGCCTCTTTTTTGTGTTGTCTATACGTCTTATGAGTTTAGAATTTTCCTTGGTATCTTTTGCCTCTTTTTTGTGTTGTCTATACGTCTTATGAGTTTAGAATTTTCCATTGGTACCTTTTGCCTCTTTTTTGTGTTGTCTATACAACTTATGAGTTTAGAATTTTCCATTGGTATCTTTTGCCTCTTTTTTGTGTTGTCTATACGACTTATGAGTTTAGAATTTTCCATTGGTATCTTTTGCCTCTTTTTTGTGTTGCCTATACGACTTATGAGTTTAGAATTTTCCATTGGTACCTTTTACCTCTTTTTTGTGTTGTCTATACGACTTATGAGTTTAGAATTTTCCATTGGTATCTTTTGCCTCTTTTTTGTGTTGTCTATACGACTTATGAGTTTAGAATTTTCCATTGGTATCTTTTGCTTCTTTTTGTGTTGTCTATACGACTTATGAGTTTAGAATTTCCATTGGTACCTTTTGCCTCTTTTTTGTGTTGTCTATACGACTTATGAGTTTAGAATTTCCATTGGTACCTTTTGCCTCTTTTTTGTGTTGTCTATATGACTTGTGAGTTTTGAAAGGCCCCTTGGTATCTTCCGCCTCTTTTTTGTTATTATCTTTGTAATTCTTGGCATTTCCATAATCAAAGTGTTTATGAGCACTGAACGGTAAAGGTTGCATTCATTTGGCAATGGGAATTAAAAAGTAAACATTGCATTGAATCTAAAAGCATTGGGAGTCAATGCTATGAATTGGTTCAATGACAAGTATGGACAAAGAAAGATAACTCCAAATTTAATTATTACTTAAACAATGACATCATGAATCAATATTTTTAGAACAAATAATCATACTAGATTCATGCACCATGCATAAATTATGTAATTTTCTTAACAAGTAAAATCTATGGTTATGCACATACACAGGATTTTGTAACTTGAATATATATTTCATTGATAAATTTCATGAAATGATTATGGATAGGATGTATAGAATATTGTATTCAATGCACTGAGTTGTATTTATCTCAAAAGAAATGATAAATTCTGGAAAATTTGATAACTATCAAGCCAACCACATAAGGGTTTTGATTGCATAAATGCAATCTTTACCCCAAAAAATGTGGTCCTCTGCAAAATGGGATTGACATTATGAATGAAACTTTTGATTTCTCAACCATTAATACCACTATTCCACTTGAGAAATTGAAAAATCCTCTAAAAGAAATAATCGAAAATGCATTTCAATATAAAAATGGTAGCATACACTATAATTTATTGCTTTGATACCATAGAGCTGCTGAGCATATTTTGTTACCGTGTAATAGTGAACAAAAATGTAAAACATGCTACACCAAGTATGCTGGATTTTTTTATTGACAACATATTTGTTGAATTTGGAGGTAGACTTTTTCAACATATTGTTGGCATTCCTTTGGGAATGAACTGTGCGTCTCTCCTTGCCGACCTCTTCTTATTTTCATATGAGTCAGAGTTCCTTCAGACACTTGTCAAAACAAGAAGATCAAAATTCAGATATGCTGATGATGTTCTTTCCATTAACAATCCAAACTTTTCTGATTGGGTTCCATTAATATATCCTCCAAAACTAGAAATTAAAGAAACAACAGACACAGCTTCCTCTGCCTCATTTTTAGACTTATACTTGAATTTGACATAAGCGGTCATCTCAGTACCAGAATCTATGACAAACAAGACGATTTTAATTTTGAAATCATAAATTTCCCCCACCTTAGCAGCAATATACCATCTTCACCTGCATATGGGATATACATTTCCCAACTTATTCATTATTCAAGAGCTTGCAGTTGATACTCAAACTCGCAACAGTGTCTGAGCAGAAAGTTGATGAACCAGGGTTATGTCAAAGAACATCTTGTTCTTTTTCTAAAAAAGTTCATCACAAGATGCCAATATCCTGTTGATAAAAATTCCATATCTACTTCACAAATAATACATGATGGTCTTGAAATATAGATTCTAGGTACTGGTATTGTTTATCCTCTTAATTACTGTTATAGTGTTCTTTTTATTTGTCATTATATATTTTTAACCATTACTGTTTAGTCCGTTTTTGGTAATATCCTTTTGGTGTGGCTCGGTATTTATACATCCCACCATTGTGTTATTGTGCTATGGTCACTTTTTGTATTCTTGTCTTTCATTTTTGCTTATTTGCTTTGTCTATAGAGTGTCTATATGCCATTTTGTTTTTCTTTGTTGACATAGTTGTTTGTTTTTTATAGTGATTAAGATTATAACACAATGTTGACTGCTGTATCCCAAATTTTTGACATTTTTACCTACTATGTCTGTTTGTTTTGCTCTCTTATTGTTGTCAATATAATGCATTCCATGCAACTCTAATACAAGTGAGAGGTTTAGCTAGCTATAAAACCAGGTTTAATTAACCATTTTCTACATAAGAAAATGCCTGTACCAAGTCAGGAATATGACAGTTGTTTTCCATTGGTTTGATATGTTTGAGCTTTTGATTTTGCCATTTGATAAGGGAGCTACCATTTGATTTTTATGGGGGGGCTAGGATGAAATTTGAAAAAAATAGGCAGGACAGGAGTTTTGAGTAAAAAAAAAGGCAGGATGAGATTATTTGCAAAAAAAAGGCAGGATGACAATTTATGTAAAAAAAAAAGTCAGGATAAACTAAAAAAAAAGGCAGGACCGAATAGAGTGAAAAATAAAAAGGCAGGACCGAATAGAGGGAAAAATAAAAAGGCAGGACAAAATTTTTCATCCTAGCCCCCCCCCCCCCCCCCCCATAAAAATCAAATGGTAGCTCCCTAAGGCACTTTCCGTTTTGAATTTTCCTTGGAGCTAGGTATTTTTGTTATTTTACTTTTTATGTCATGCACTAGGCTGTCAGATATAATTCAAAAGGTTAGAAAAAAAATCAAAATTATAACCAACAAGTGAAACTGCGAGCTACTGCTTACTGATGATACCCCCCGCCCAAATATTTCGGTAAACAGGAAGTTGTTGATTGATGAATCTGAAAATGCATCACACAGTATAGCTGACTTATATAAACTCTGAAACCTAATTTCAGAAATCCTTGTATTGTAGTTCCTTAGAAAAATGTGACGAAAATTTTCAACTTGGCTATCATGTGTAAAATGATACAAGTATTCGGTAAACAGGAAGTTGTTGAGTGATGAATCTGAAAACGCATCACACTGTATAGTTGACTTATATAAACCCTGAAACCAAATTTCAGAAATCCTTGTATTGTAGTTCCTGAGAAAGATGCGACGAAAAATATTCATGGGACGGAAGGACGGACTGACAGATGGATGGACTGACGGATGGACAGACAGAGGTAAAACAGTATACCCCCACTTTTTTAAAGCAGGGGTATAATAACAGTATTCTTAAATCAAAAATATTGTGTAGAATGCTCAGTTATACAATATGTTAAGGAATCCTAAGAGAGCTTTCAGGCAAGAGATATCAGATGAACTGCATTCCATCAATGTGTAACAATAGTGAAATTAAATGGTCAAAGTCCTATAACTCCAGCAAGAATTGTCAAATCAAAATGTTGGTGTATCATGGTTAACAACACATGATGACAAACAATCCAAGTATGAAAGCTTTCTGGCAAACAGTTGTTGAGGAGTTTTATTCATAAGACGACATTGTGTTATAATTGTAAAAAAAAAATGGTCAAAATTCCAGAATTCCCGCATGAACTGTCAAATCAAAATGGTACAGTATGAACAACTACACAGGGTTCTCACTAAAGACCCTTTTAAGGATAGCCCAGAGACTGGTAATTTTTTGCTAACTGTGAAAAGAAGAAATGTTATTGCTATTCAATTTATCATTTCAGTCTCTATGACAAAACAAGAGCAAGGAAATGACATCAAATTTAGATGATTTTAAAACTTTTGCCATAAATGATGATATATGTGCTCAGTTGATACAACATTTAACAATATTGATGCATCTTTGGACTCACCAGTTTTGAAAATGATGATACCAGACAGATTTTCATGAGTCCAGGACTTGTGAACTCGCCTTACTGAGAATCCTGCTACATGTATTACCATGAATGAAAGTTTTCTGACAAAGGGTCTTAGAAGAGAAAGGAGTTGTGTTCAC